TCTCTCTCTCTCTCTCTCTCTCTCTCTCTCGTTGTTTGTTAATGGAATGTTTATTATTCTCACGCCGCTGCCGCTGCTGCCTCCTGCTGCTGTTGCTGTTGGGCCTGTCGTCCCCGCATGGTGTCGACGACCTGCGAGAGATGTGTCTGCGCCACCCGCAGTTTCTGCTCGAGGGCGTCCATGTTTCCCCGCACGGCCTCCGCGCGGGTGGCGAAGTACGCCGTGGCGGCCTCCAGCGGCCTCTCGAGGAAATAATCCGTGCCGACGTCGACCAGCACCCGCCCGCTGCGCACCAGCCGGGCCCGGGCGTAAAGGGCGCTGCTCACACACACAAGTCCCTCCTCTTCCTTTTCTTCTTTTTCTTCTCCTGACTTGGGGGCCCCGCAGACGGCCTCATACTCGCGGAGGACATCGCGGTTGCTGAGGAAACGGGCACTCGCGCTGTTTAGACTGTCGTAGGCGGTGGAGAGACTGTTGACTTCTAACTGCAGTTGTTTGCGCAGTTCCTCCAGCTGCTCAAGAGGGAGTTGTGTAATGTTGATTGGGCCCCCAGCACTACCATCAGCAGGTCGTCCGCTCATCTTTACTCACTCCTTTTTTTTTTTTTTTTTCTTTTCTTTTTTTTTTTCTTTTGGTTTGGTATTGCTGTGATATTGGGTGGTTTTATTCTTCTAATTGCGCCTCGTTCCGTTCAGCACAAAAAACATGTTCTTCTTCTATGGAAGAAATAAACAGAACAAACGAGGCAAATGCAGAAAAAAAAAAAAAAGATACAAGCAGCAGCAACTCTAGAAGAATCAGGAAAAGAATTACGAAAAAAGTAAAAAAAAAAAACAACACTCATAAGGATAACACAGTTGTAATATACAGACACACACCTAGTAGAGTGTATTATAACTGTAGATCGACACCAACCAAAAAAGAAAAAAAAAAGTGCGAACAAGCATATAAGCACAAAAAGGAAAAAAAAGAATCACAGGAATATCTGCTCCTGTCAACAGTACCAAACAATAATAATAATAATAATCCCAACACTGCTCGTATTTCTCTTACGAGGCCTATCAAGAATCCCATTTACTCATATTCATCAAATTTCTTCCTCTTCTCATGATGATGATGATGATAATGTTGTGATGGTGGTGATGATGATGGTCGTTGTTGTGTGGGATCTGTATAGTTTCTCAGGTATGAGAGTGGCGGTGCGGGCAAATCCTCCCAACCAACTTGCGTGCCAACATCTTCATGCAGTGGGGGCGGTGCGAACTCCAACACCGGCATTACACGACCCCAATCTCGCATCACAACAACTTTTTCATTTTCTTCACTTTCTTTTTCTGCTCGCATTTCCCCTTCCGCCTCCTCATCGGCGAGTTCTTCCATGTACGGCATGCCGGGAATGAGATGCGGGTACTCCCCGCGGGCATTCGGCACCACCACCCGCGGCACATTATCCCCCGGCAGCAAATAAAATAACAAACACGGCAAATTACCGGCCGGCACGTACGGCAGCGTCTCGTGATCCCAGCGGGTTGGACGCACAATGGGCATTACACACAGAATTGCTACTGCTGATGTTACTGTCCTATCTATCTTCCTATTAGTGTTATATATATATATATATATATATATATATATATATATAGTGTTTGCATTTTGATAGAGGTACATGGAATTAAAGAATGAGAATGAAAATAAGAATATGATATGAGGTTAGTGATATTCAATTCAGTGTAGACAGAGATTAACGCATGTATATATATTATATGTATACATATATACAGAGAGATAGAGAGATAAATAAATACATAGATACATGTCTACAAGTCAAGTGTGGTTACATATATATATACACAGATATACAATGAAAGAAAAAAGAAAAGCAAATACAGATACGCCATTATTCAACACTACACAAACACACACACAAACACACACTCACACACAGAAGCGTTCGAACAATCTGACAAAACAGACACAACTAATTAAAACTAATTGCAATAAGGAAAGTAAGTAAAAAAAAAAAACAAAAAATTTCCCAGGAAATCTCAGAACACAATAATGAAAAACAGATGTCCCACACTAATGCAGTATCTGTGCAACAGTAAGAATAATAGGAAAAAAAAAACAATTTTTTTGGTCCAGAAATACATGTTTCATTGAATACACAAGATGGAAGAAGAAAAAAAAAAAAAAGAACAAGATGAGTGTATCGGTTACTTTTTTTCATATCACCCATTATTCACTATTATCATTATTCTTTATCACTATATTCTTCCTCATCTTCCTCTTCCTCTTCCTCTTCTTCTTCTTCATTCGCCTCCTCTTTTTCATCTTCTTCTTCCTCGTCATTCTCTCCATCTACAGATTTCTCTTTAGTACTCTTTTCTGAATCAAATACAAGCCCCTCAGGTGTCATTTTAACCTTCGCATGAAAGGTTGCCGAAAGGTCGTCTGGTGCTGCAACATCTTCTAATATCTCTTGAAAAGAGCGGCCGCCATCACGTTTACCATGAGGAGTTGAAAAACTACTTCTTCGTCCATGTCGACTATCGCCGTTCTCTACACCCGATGTGGATGCTCCTCCAGCCCCATCACCCATACTAACTTGTAGGGCATCCGCATCCCCATTGTGTTTGTTGTTATCGGCATTACTTTCCTCTTCGCTGACTAGTTTCTTCAGCCATACACGTGTAGTTGTGACATCATAGGTACCAGCAACCGCAACAATAGTATTACGTCTTCCTAATCTCATTAGTGTTGGAGATCCTTCTTCCGCTTTTTCTGGTGAGGTATCATCTACGCTGGTTCCCAGTGCTTCTTCTTCAAAAGCACTCTCAATCTCAGCACCAACCATACTAGCACTATTGTTATTGTTATTACTTTTACTTTTCTCATTGTTTTGAATATTACTGATACTATTTTCAGCATCCGTTAAATTACGCCGCCGCATCCATCGTCGTTTATGTTTCTCCGCCTCATCAAGTATAGGATCAAACTCCACAGTAGGACTTGAAACTTCAAGAGGCAAAACAATATTACCCACTTCAGGAAATCTACTACGACTTCTATCGGTAAGCCATTCACCACCACGAATAACACGTCCCATATCTAAATCATCCACATCCCCAGGATGTAAGGAACCAGCTAATTTTAATCGCCGAGCCAGTTGATGATACTTATACCTGCGAATATATCGAATTAGATGATATAAACCCCAAAAACCAGGAATAAGTAAAAGAAGTAACAATAACAGGAGCAACATGAGTCGTGGTTTTTCCTCTTTATTTCCACTACTACTTGAAGTATTTCTTAGATGTAAAGTCTCCTCTAATTGTTCTTCCATCATCTCTAAGAGGCTTGTAGCTATAGAAGAATTTGTCATTTTTCCATGCGTCTACTTTTTTTTTTTTTCACTACCAAATGGAAAATACACATAAAGAATAGAAAAAAATAGAGCAAGGCGAAGAAGAAAATAATAATAGAAAAAAAATAGATGGTAAAAAGTAGTGGTATACAACGTACCGGTCCCCCTTTCTATTCTCTGAGAGAAAAATAACAAATCAACTCATTGATCATTCTCTAATTTATGCCAGAGGAAGTAATCACAGAGAAAGAATAAAAAAATAGAATTACAATGTCAACTTTAATAATAATAAAAAAAAAAAAAAATGAAAAAAAAAATAATAGCAGAAAATATATATATATATATATATATATATATATATCAGCAAACAATTTACAGTAATCTAATCAGGTGAAGGATACAATATTACACACACACACACATACATGTGATGAGAAACCCAAATATACCCCCTACTTCCGTGTGCGATAAGAATGTTTCCCCAATACTTAGGATCAATATCTTGTCTCTTCTTTACAGTGTAACAGTAATAACACCCAGGAAGAAAAAAAAGAAAAGGTGGTGGGTTAACAAGAAAAAATGATAAAAAAGGAGACAACAGACTCTCCTCCTACGTCTCCTGATTCAAAATGGATAATGAAGCCTCACGCATAACAACAGAAAAAGCACCACCGCCACCACCACCACTACCCAATGAAAGAGAATGAGAAGGTGGTGGTAATGAAGAGGTACCACCCATGGAAGAAACGGTATCAGAAGTCTTGACTAATAGAGGATTCAATATTGTTTCTATTGATGTTGGAGTTATTTTAGGCACATGATCCATTGCAGGTGTTTCATACCTATCATCTCGAACATTTTCTCTACTAGAAGAGGATATAGTACTAGACCACACACCCAACTGGACCTCTTTCGGCTGAATAGATCCATTCAAGTGTGGGGTGTTTTCTATTTTTTTTATCTTTACTCCTGTTGATGTGGATTTCTGCAGTATTGCCTGTTTACGCCTTTGTAGGGCCTCTTCGAGTTGCCCTTCAAGTCGCATTAACTGTCCAATCATATCCCGCCGCTCTGCTGCTACTCGCGCGAGGGCCTCTCTCATTTTACTTCTCTCATCACCCATCAAACGTCTCCACTCTCGCATCTTACTTCGCTGTTCCCCCGCCTTATCCCGCAGTGCCCGCTCCTCCACCGCTAATCTCTGCAGGGTTCCCCGCAGCGCCTCCCGCTCCTCCGCTGCTAACACCGACATTTCTTCTATAAACGCCTGTCGCCGCGATTCGAAGAGTCGTGAACTTCGCTCTTCGTGTAGTGCCGCTGCAGATCGGAGGGCTATCATGCGGCGTTCTTGTTCCTCACAGAGACAGAGTTTCTCCCGTGCAAAGTATTCTCGCTGCCAGACCTCCACATGCTCGAGGATAAACTGTCCATGCAGCTCTGATTCAAGGGAATTTAATAGCATGGCACACGCAATCTCCTCATCGTTAGTGGCATCACCGGCAAATCCCGTTAACACTGGGGAAGAGAGTTCAGGCGATGTGAGGGTATCATTCATTAAGTGAAGAACTTGATTACGGGCTAAAGCACCAACCTCTACAAACTCCACATCAGTAGGTAAACTATGCAGTGGAGGTGAATCATCACGAGATTGCTTAAGCATTGATGTCATGAGACTTTCCGGTTTCTTATGTTCATGTTGATGCTGCTGAAAATAATCATGAGGATTAAAAAAAGGACCATAGGGTAGTTCTTCATCGATCATAATTTCTGGTTTTGCAGATAATAACACATTCTCTTGTGTACGCTTCTTAAATGTGTTCATCAATTGTTCTTCTAAAGGTATGTTAACTTTTACTGGAATATTATACATGTGACCGTTTGTTGCATCCAAACTATTTAATGCCATCTTACTAGAGCAAGTGGGTGAACTTTCACCCACAAGATGATGTTGAGTCAACGCAAAGGAACGGGGACCTTTAATATGAAATGGTGAAAGAGGTGTAGTTGTTGAAGTAGTTGATAGTTTCTGTGGCCGACTTGGAACAGTGGTTGTTTCATTCTTATACTCTTCTTCTTCTTCTTCATCATTCCCTAGTCTCAGTTTTTGTTGTTGTTGTTGTCCTCGTTGTTGTTGTTGTCCTCGTTGTTGTTGTTGTTGTTGGGTCTGACTTCTCATTATAGAAACTGTAGGTGAAACTCTTCCATCACGTGATTTTGCCCGACGTGATAGAATAGGTGACTTATACGAGGGTGATACTTCATTTAATGAATAGGAAATACTACCACTCCCTCGCATTTAGAGTAATAATAATAATAATAATAATAATAATAATAATAATAATAATAATAATAATAATAATATCTAACTATAATCTTGTTATTTTGTCGTTTTTGTACTCACTTTCCTTTCCAATCTCTTTCTTTTTTTTTTTTTTTTGAAGTAGACTCTGTACTAAAAGAGCAACAAGGAGAAACGAACTAAATCCCATGTTTCTTTCTGCAGAAAAATAATCATGGATTGTTTTTTTTTTTTTTTTCTAACCAATGATGCATAATAACATGGTAGAAACAAACAAAAAAACAATGAAAACAGTATTTAATATGTAAATGTAAAAACGAAAACAAGAAAAAAAAAGACTCCAACTAAAATGCATAATGATATTAAACAAATAATATCATTCTCATCATCATCACCACCGTGTCACAGCTTCCTCATTAATAGGTCGATGCCAAGCTTGTCCAGTTTCCTGCAGTTTGCGTTGTTGTTTTTCTCTTTCCGCCACCTTAGCCCGTGTCCACATCACCTCCGCCACGTGTTTGTTATCTAAATAAGCCATCCAATTCTTTCGCAGCAGTCGTGCCTCATCCATGCGAGTATACGGTGCTGGAATATCCAGAGGCGGCGGTGTGGTCTTCGCCCCTGGGGCTCCACGCGGTTTAAACTGCGGTCCATGCATAGCAAAATACGTTTTCCCGCGCAGTGTGCGGGACCATAACTTTCCTTGCGGGCTGCTCAGCCATTTGTGTTCCCAACTCTCGCGGGCCCGCACTTCATCACCGGGTTGATAGGCCTTCGCTGCGGGAATCGTTCGGTGTGTTAACACGCCTGTTGTGGTATTCATATTACTACCAACACCAACACCATTTTGTCCGGTGTGTAATGTTCCTCCAATAGTTTCAATGGAGTCTTCCGGTACAGTGTAGAATTCCGCATTATCACGAATACCCATTACAATAGGTTTAAGATCTTTTAAAAATTGTTTGTAAATATTTGTTTCTGCCTGTTCCATTAATTGTCTCCCTTGTGCGCAGGCATCTGCGTAGGCTGCCAAAATAAGTTGTCGTTGCCGATAAGAAGAGAGTTCCTCCACACAAGGATTCATACGTACTCTTTTCATAAATCCCGCCGGTGTGGTGACCACCTCCACACGTCCTTCCCATGCACGGCCCACCACTTGCATACGGTCAAATCGTATTTGATGTTCATACTTGTTATTATACACATATGCGAGAATGCGGTGGAATTGACGTTCAGACATGAGACGGCCATGATGGGCCCACAACGCGCCACGAACACGTTCCGTAATGCGTCTATACACTTCCATGTTTTTTTTTTTTTCTTTCTAAATCCCTCTCGGCAACTGCACCACACTTAAACCCATCGCAGGAAAGAATAAAAAGAAAGAAAGAGAAAGAATAAAGGGAAATTTAAATCTGTACTCCCTAATATCCGGATTCAGATCCTTATTTATTTCAAATATTATAAAACAATATATATAAACAAAAGAACAAGAAAATTGAAGAAGGATATTCGAACTTCCTGTGAAAAAACAAATAAATAAATAAATAAACAAATAAAAAGGTCGTTCTTTCTTTTTTTCTTTTTTAGGGTTCCCGCAGCCGTCGTTATCCCCTATTCCGTGAAGAGAAGGGAGGGAAACAATATGTCATGAGTGGGATGGCGAAGAAAAAGAAAATAAGAATAACAACAAGTCAATCGCCAAACTCCAACGCGTCATCTCTGAATAGAGTAAAAATAAAATAAAAAATAATAAAAGGTAGATGCACAAAATACCTTCTCATTCATTCAGACCTGTTTACTCGCAAAAAAAAAACTGCTCTACAAACTTTCACTATAAAATAATAATAATAATAATAATAATAATAATAATAATAATAATAATAATAATAATAATAACCAGCAAAATACAAATATTACACTAATTATTAAGTAGAGAGAGAGAAAAAAAAATAAATAAATAAAGCCATGAGTACCCCCCTCCCCTTATCACAGTGGCTCCATATCTTCGGATACCTCTTTATATATTTCCTCCAGTCCCGCATCAACTTCACTATAATTTGACTGCATCACTACATACATGCGTGTGGGAGGTGCAAATCGCTGCAGTGCCTCCACACCGTACAACTGCTGCCGCAAGTACTGTTCTTCTTCTTCATAGTGTGTAATGGTATGATGTACACGATGAATGAATTGAGTCTCATCCTGTGCAGACCACATACTTCGCCAGTCTAATGAATAGGGAATATCCGCTTCTGGCCAAGTTGTGCGAAGTGAACGGACGAATTGTCCAATTGGTATCTTTTCCGTATGATGTTCTCTTTCACAAGTTTCACTTCGGGAAATGATATCCTGCATGTAGTTTAGACTACCAGTCTCTGTAGTTGCTGCGTCGGATGCAAACTTCAGTAAATGTGGAAGACTTGTTGGACTTTGTATGAGCTCTTCTTGTTTTTCTGAATGGATAGCATCACTATCATTATTATTATTATTATTATTATTATTATTATTATTATTATTATTATTTGTTTTTTGTTGGTACTTGATGTTCTGAAGCGGAACACTCTCTACGAGTGAGGGAGAAGTATTAAAATACCACAGAGATATTGGATATTTGTGCCTTTCTTCTCTCTCAACTTGTGTAGATGTGAAATGTACATTACACTGCAGAAAGTCTAATAAAGTAGACACATCCTGTAATAAACGTAATAATGGTAATAACCGAAAGAGTGGCTCATATACGCTGATATTTCTTTCTTCTTTCATTAAATATATAGAAGTATCATTTGAAGTCGAAAAAAGTATAAATTCGAGTAGAGTTTGAAATTCCTTCTTCGCATCCATGATCTTTTCTAATGAATTCACACTGCGTTTTAACCATTTCTCTACTGTGGTAGTAGATATATTTACACATGTGAGTTGCGAGATCTCAGAGAAAACAAGAACAAGAGATGGAAAACACTGCAAAGAGGATAACTCAAACTCCCTCTTAAAACAGTAAAATTCCTTAAGTAAGAGTTGTAATTCAGGCAATGCAATAGGGTGATCTCGCCATGTGGATAAAGCACGCAGAAGAAGACCATAATCACTATTATTATTATTATTATTATTATTATTATTATTATTATTATTATTATTATTATTATTATTATTATTATTATTATTATTATCACTGGTCTTACTGAGAGGATCTTTACTCTCCACCGTATCTTTATCTTCCACAGAGATTTTCAAAACCATCCATAAACAATGTGCTAATGGATCAGAAATATATAAAGCGATCATCATCCATCGTAATAACTGCCACCATATAGGTAAAACAAATCCCATCAATTTCTCAGTGAGATGTTGTTGAAACTCCTTCACTATATGTTCGCATAGTAACAGAGGAAGGATGGGAAATTCACGCCTTAACGCATCTACTAAAATAGTCTCTAAATGAGAACTCTCATTTCTCTCTTTCTTTTCCTTTTCAACAACATCTGCAAATTTCTTTATTTGAAAAACAATATTCTCATCCCATCCCATGGCAATAGAGGTTAAACGACAAGCATGTAATTTCTGTAGTAAATCCAAAAAATTAATATACAACGAACTGCAATTATTTAAAGATTCTATTCGTTCCGTTCCCGGTACAGTCCATGAGAACCAATTAATATTCACAGTTCCAAGCATAATATCTGCTTTTCGTAAAAACTGTTGTATTTCTCTTGAGTATACCACCTGTTGTGGTGAACCATCATTTACTCGAAGTAAAATAAATTCTTGTTGTTGCAACTTTGAAGAACAAGAAAAAGAAGAAACATCAGACATTTGTGTAGAATCTGAAATTCTTGATGTTCTTCTTCTTATTATTCTTCTTGTTGTTTCTCTTAATGAACCGGCAAGAATAACATCTAATCGTTCCTCTAACCATAATAAACTAAAATGATCACGTACATCAAAAGCACATATCACCACATCTGCTTCCATACAATGTGTTCGTAGGAGCTCTCGTGATGAACATCCCGGAATGTCTACAAGCCGCACATTCACAGGTAAACCATAATCCATCATACACAAAAATACATCAGTAACACCTGTTGATGATTGAAGAAGAAACTTCGCATCTTCACCTACAAAAACGTGTGTTTGACCGTTTAATTTTAATTCTACAGATTGCTGTAAATGTGTATTCATTCCAGTAGTTGCACCACTATTTGATGAGTGTGAACCAAGTGGTGATTGTAAAACGGCACTTAAAATATCTTCATTATTATCAGTTTCACCAGTGTTAGTCATATCACCAGTAAAGCTACAGCATTGAAACCAGTTATCGAGTTCACGCAAAATTTCTATACGATCACTATCCTTTTTCTCGTTGTTATTATTATTATTATTATTATTATTATTATTATTCTGGTGGCTTTGGTTTAAATCTCTGATTCTAGACTGCGCCCAGAGCCATCGCACAATTGTTGTTTTTCCTACTGCCGAACTACCAACAAGGACAATATGCAGTGGTGACTGTCGAAGGAAATTAACAGCTGAAGAAAACAATGGATAGTATCTATTAGATGATCCTAATTCTCTTGATAATACCAGAGCGTGTTCTTTTATTTCTTCTTCTTCTTCTTTATTTTTCTGTCCTCTCTGTATAGAGCCGGGAAATGCGAAAACCCCAATATCACTTAATGGCGAGAATGGGCTCCCTATAAAAGAACCACTACTCATCATCTGACTTGTGGGTGAAAGTAATAAACATTGTGGTCCATAATTATTAAAATCACGTTTGTGTTTACGACGGTATGGATATCGTCTAAATTCTCTTTCCAGACGAGTACGCCATAGTGGTGTGAGAGAAGCGTAGACTGGTCTCAGCAGTATAGAAGTGCAGTCTATTGAAGAAGGAACGGCAACAAGCGTGTGAGTGTGAAGGTTTACCATAAGATAACACTCTGTACTATCAACTTGAGGAGGGAAAACACAAATTCGATAAAATGACTCTTCTCTCTCTTTATATTTTGAATGTATTTTTTGATGTTGATCTTTTTGTTTTTCCTTCTCTTGAAACTCATTCTTTAATAAAAATTTTACATGAGTCCGATTTTTTACTGGGTTTAATAACGATATATCTGCTGTATTTGGTGGAAATACTTCATTAATATTCACTTGTTCTTTATTATCTAACACAGTAGAAGAAATACGTACAGAAGGAGTTGGTCCTGTTTCTAACTGAGAAGTAATAATAAGTTTCCATTCTGTTTTACTAGAAGCAATACAATCAATAAAAACAGATGGATACTCCACTGAATACAACTTCTTCCCTGTAAATATTTCCGTAGTTTTATCATCATTCTTTATACTATTGTCGTTATCAGTATTAACAAGTGTGAAATGCGAGGCGGCATAAATGCAAGGAGTAAGGCGGAGAAGTGGTACACCTCCTAACGCACAAGTAACGATTCCATTCATTTCAGTATATTGCATAACTAACTGAATATACCATAGAGACGGTACCTCCTTCTCTGCAGATGAAGAGGAAGAGGAAGAGGAAAAGGAAGAACTAACACCAACACCAATATCAGGAGTAGTATTAGTATCTATAAATACAGAAAGAAGAAAATGTGCGCCAGATTCCTGAATAGATTCCCATTGTAACTGTGTAGGAACTTCTATTCTGTCATTCTTTCTATGATTTTCAGAGACATCTGATTCTAATTCCTCGCTAAGTAGATCCAGGATACCTTCAGAAGAACGTAACTCTGTCAAACGTTGATGTTCCTGTGAAAAGGAAAAAACCTCAGTCTCTGCAGATAACAAAGGTGGTAGCCAAACGGAATCTTTACTTTTATCGTTGGGTTCTAAAGGACTCTTCATATATGATGATGATGTTATTATTCCTTCTACTGCTGCTCTTGTTTTTAATGGTAATGAAAATGAAGGTGATTTATTCCTCTCCCAACCAAAATCCCACATTCCATCAACATTCTTAATAGCGTATAAACAGTAATCCGGTATATCTTTATTAATCTCATTCTCTGATTTCTGTTGCTGACAAAGTAAGAGGTGATCCACCGCAACTTCTGCGCAGGGAAGGAAAAGACTACGTTGTAAGATTCTCCACCACTTAGATAATAATAATAATGATGTTCCTTCTAAAGAAGGCGATTTACACGATAAAAAAGAATCCTTCTGCTCAAACCACAACAAAACTCCTGGAATTTGTTGCAAGATACCTGCAGGTATTGAAGCAGAAGCTAATTCAGATATTGCGCTATCACCAGAAATAAATAAAAAACCTTGGGGATATCTCATAATTGCAGATAATTCATCAGAATTATTATCATTACCGTTACAGGATGTCCATAAATACTCAATAATTAAATTCTGTAACTGTTCCTCACTTGGGAGTTTATCATCACTTACATTTTTACCTCTTACTCTACACCCAGATAATAATTTTATTGTTTTTTCATCTGAACTCCATGTGAACAAAAGTTGATACAATACCGCATCTCCTGTTAAACTTAATATTCTGACGATATCGCCTTTTCCAGAAATAACTTTAGGTAAAAACATATTAGTACTACTACTACTACTACTACTGGTAGTAGAAAAGGAAGAAGGTCGATGAAAAAATAAACAGTTACCGTTTAGACGAACAGAAGCTTCCCGAATGTCCTCAAGGATCATAAATATATTTCCTGCTATACTCAAGGAATTATTCCCCTCCTTTTTGGATTTATCTGTCCCTAGTAGTAGCACTCGCAGGTTTACCTCCGCCTTTAATAAGTTCCATTGTGAAAATAATGACATCAGACATTACTTTTCTCCTTTTATTTTTTCACTTGCCTAAAAGCAAGTAAATAAAGTGTACCTAAATATATACAGGCATGTACTCTCACAGACACAATAGCAAAGAAAAAAAGGAAGAAATGAGGAAAAAAAAAAAAAAAAGAGCCTTTGTAAAGTAAATAAAATAATACAGTTTCTTTTTGCCATTGTAATCTTTTTTTTTTCCTCCTGTTTTATTCATAGAGACCCACACCAAACAGATACAATAACAAGAAGAAGAAAAACAAAAGAACAGTGAAGGCACTCGTTCCCCATTGCCACAAAAATCCTCTTTTACTTTTTCACTTTCGTATCAGCGACCCTGTACACGAGGTGTGGGCCAGTAGGTATCCTTTTCACCATAGTGCTTCCACAATCCAACGGGCATGGAGCGGTAGGATATTTTTGCCGTACTATTAAGATGCATCTGCTGCTGTGATCGTAGTGTCTTTGCCTGTCGCACTTCATTCATCCACTTTGCCGTGCTGACTTCACCCTCAAACTTTGCAAAATCCTCCACAATCCCTCCGGCATTACGCACATATGCTTTCAGTTCACTTGGCTTCATGCCATTGGCGGCGGCCTCCTCCCGCAGTCGTGAGGCCCGGCGGCGGAGTGTCTCGACGGCTGTCCACGGGGCCGTTGGGGCCGCTGTTGCCGCCGCCTTCGCGTACCGCCGCGCCGCCCACGCCGCCCCCCGCGCCGCAACATTCGCGTCGGGCGCCACGAGCGACGGGCCGCACTTCCGCCCCGCACGGAACGGCGCCACGCGGCCGTCGGGCTCCTCCGCGAGAAAAGGCGCCGCGGCGGGGTCGAAATGACGGCGGAGTCGCGCCTCGCGGGCGGCAGCGCGGCGGCCATGGCGCTCGAGTGGAGCCTCCCGCCCGCCGTACCGCTCGAGAACGTCGAGGAAGCGCGAGACGGTGCCGCCCCGCCCGGCCGGCCGCACAGGAGGACTACCGCCAACGCCCAGCACCGCAGACTCAGTGGAAGAAGAGGAAGAAGAAGAAGAAACCGGATCCCCCGCAGTCGTAGGAGGAGGAGTAGGAGACGAGACGCCGTCTGGGGAAGAGGGTACATTCTCCACCTCGGCAGCTCCCGTCGTCGTCTTCTCCATGTATGGCAATTCAAGCCATGCAGCATCTGGTCGTTCCAAACCAGTGTTTAGACGAAAGGTTCCATAATCGGATTGATGACGCTGCAGTGGGTGTTCCCGGCGCCACGCCAAAAAACGCTGACGCCGCCTCACTTTCTCATCATCTCCAACTCCGCATTCACTCATTTTATCACCTCTCTGAAAAGTTAACAAGGGTTCCGTTGATGTAGGTGATGTAGATGTAACAGTATCAGAAACCTTTTTTTGACCATCTTGATCATCCAAGTTAAGTACAAATTTTCGCTCCTTCATAATTATTGGTGATGCTGGTATCTCTTGCTTAGAACTCAAGAGAGCCTGGTTTCCATTTCCTCGTGTGGCTGCGAAAAAGTCTTTTGCTTTTTGAGTTTCTATCTGACGTGCTTCTTGAAGACGTTTAGATTCTTCCTCTAGGGCTGTCTGCATTTCAGCGTCTGCTTTTTTCTTAAGCATTTCCCGTAGTCGGTCACCAGGAATAAGACCAGATGTCTCTGCAATAAGTCCACGAAGATATTCCACATTTGTTCCATCCTTTGCAGAAGTAGGAATAATAAACGGGAAAACTTTTCGATACTTACGACGATGTTTTGTTATAGCAGCATAAATTTGACGCATAACGGAACAAATACGAGAGTGTGGTACTGAGTCACACTTTGTTAAAACTACAAAAAATACCCCATGTAGATTTTCTAACCATGTAAAGTAGCGTAAATCCGTTTTTGTGAGTCCACGTTCACAATCAATACAAAGGAGCACAGTATTCACAGATCGTCGCACTCCAAGGTAAGCATCTGTCAACTCTATAGCCTTATCACGCCACTGGTCAGACATCCCTTCAATACCAAAACCAGGAACATCTACAAAAGTAAGTTGTAATCCACCTCCAGGAAGTTTTACTAAACCATTACCCCCTTCTTTACTAAGATATTGTTGCATTTCTTCTGGTGAAACACTCTGATAGAAGGAAATTTGTCGTGTTGTATTAGGGGTACTACTTGTTTTTGCCACAGGTTGTCCAAGAAGTGCATTTAGTAGACTCGACTTTCCTGCACATGCTTTACCAACCAAAACAATCTCCTGGTATAATTCATTAATTTCAAAGAAAAAATTATGATTATCAAACATAGTTGTTTGGCGTTGACCTCTTCCTCTTCCTTTTCCTCGTCCTTGTTGTTCATTATGATTACGTCCCACCCCTACTTCTGTGATAGCATTTGCATTCTCTCGTCGTACACCTGCTTGTTTTACAAGTGTATAATGTTGACCCAGCATTATTTTATTACCAAGAGATTTGGACTCTTCCAATACTTTACCAAACGTCAATGGTGGTGGTGGCACCAATTTCCCATTATATGTGTAATCAGATGGGTTCGGATGTGTCAGTTCATACAACACACGACGACGTTGGGCAATAAGTCGTTTTCGCTCTTCCTTAAAAGCGTCTGTTACCATATCAATAATATCCATACCTATTCCTCTCGCTGCCGGATGATGTTCGCAAAATTTTTCTCGTTCTGAAGAGGCAGCAACTTCCTGTAAGTGTTTGCCGTGTACATCATCTACAACAATATCATCATCTACCGCATCGGTAGTCACACAAAGTGCATCTGAGGCAATTTGTTGTTGTTGTTGTTCTTGGTGTTGCTCTTCCACTTCCAATAAGGCAACTTGAGTAGCGAAATGTGAAGTTTTCGGCTTTGCTTTTGGTATTGTAGCTGCTGCCATGAGTGCATCTCCATCCATCACTTTCTTTCTTGGGGACTGCTCCTGAGTATAACGTGGACGACCGCGTAGCGGCACGCGTCCGAGGAGATCAAACGCTGAGGAGGATCTGCACAATGTGGATAGTCTGAACATTACCGCATTCAATATCACTATAACCTACCATCCATTATCCACAAACATATATATATAGACACAGACAGAAAAAAAAGAGAAAAGAAAAAAAGAAGAATCATAGTAATATATTAGTATTTACAATATACATAAATATAAATAGAAAAGGGGTAACAAAATAAACAGGGAAACGCTAAGTAGCATTCCACTACCTCTTTTTTTTTTGTTTTTTTGTTTCCTTTTCACACAGACTCCTCTACGGTTCACCATCGTTTGGTAAATCATTGGCAATTTCTCTTCTTCTTTTCTTCTTCCTCTTCTTCTTTTTTTTTTCTCTTTACTACCTTTCTTCCCTGTAAGATGCCTTTTCTTTTTCTTCTTTCCTTGCTCCTTCTTCCATCAACACTCTTATTTTTTTTTTCTTTTTTGAAGGGGGTGATGGGAGAGTAGTGATTACCTCTTGTCTTGTACCTGTCACTTTCAGTTTTTCTCCTATACCGCAAGGACGCTCACTTACTCACACGCAAAAACAAACAAGCAAACACTCACACACAGACACAGACACACAAATATATACAATTTGACTGCTCCCCAGACCCCATTAAGTTAGAAAGTATATGATGGAAAGGCAAAGAGTGGGAGAGACAAAAAAAGAAAGCAGAAGAGAGAACCGGTTAGAGGAGCGAATAAACACCACACATCACAACAGAAGAAAAAAAAAAAAGGGTACAGATAAAAATAAAAATAAAAATGAAAAAAAAAACATCGCACACGTACACGCAGATGGATTCCTAAACACACAGACAGAAACACAGAAAAGGAAAAGAAAAAGAACCGGTATCTATATACACTTATATATATGATGAAAAAAAAAAAATGTATTACATAGGTAGGAGTGAAACCCGTGACTGATAGCTACGTGACATGGCACAGCGTAGTTATGTTTTTTTTTTTTTTTTCTTTTCTTTTCTCTTCTATGCGTTGCACAAGTGTGTCTACGGGTTTTTTGTTTTTTTGTTTTTTCTCACTGCTAAAGTACAACAACATAGATTCGAGAGAAAAAAAAAAAAGAGAGAGAGAGAGTCAAGAAAACAACAAAAAAAAAAAAGGAGAGGCAGGAGTGGATGTCTATATAAAGGAAAATGATGGTCCTCAAAAACAAAAAAAACTATAGAAGCCGAAACAAACTCCTGAAAGAAAAATATTATCTGAGAAACAACACCCTCCAAAAGTGTATGCAAACACAGACAATAATAAATAAATAAATAAATAAAAAGATCAAATATGCATGTTTTCACCGTATTTGTACATATAATTAGTTTACCTATTCTTTCTCTTTTTAGTTTTTTTTTTTTTCTCTCTCCTTTCCTCACCCCAACCCACAAATCTCATCATTGATCTGAATTCATCCTCTGCTGTTTACCTTCTCTTTTAATTTATTTCCCTTCCTCTACCCGTCGATATACCCATTTTTTTCCTTCTACACAAAATTAGAACGGCAAGTACAAAAGAAAGAGGGCATACAAAAAAGAAAAAAAGGGAATGAGGGTGGGAGGGGTGTTGGGAGAAAAAAGAAACACAGAAAAGGAAAAGCAAAAAAAAAAAAAGAAAAAAAGAGAAATTAAGAACGAAAAAGAAAAAAAAAAGAAAAAAAAGAAACCTATAGACAAGGGAGGACTCAAAAGAACGCTAACACAACAATATGGTTGCGGCGGTAATAGTGGTATCTACTACTTTTATATTCAGATAACAAATGAAAAGGGAACGTGCAAATAAGACACTCAAACATGACATAATAACACACCATGTTCATGCAGTCTCATCCAATCTTCATGTCATCTTACTTTTCAAAGATGTTTTTCTTTATTTCTTCTTTATTACCTTTCTATTTTAAAGTTTATTCCTATGTCCTTCCCTCTCACTTAGTTATGAATGCACTCTCTTTTTGTCCCCACTTCTTCTTTCTTTTTCGTGTTTTTGCACGTTCAGAGAAACGCAAAGTTCGTTCTTTCTATAGTTGCTGCTGTTACCACAAGTCCTGAAACTTTTCATCTTTTTTCTTTTCTTATTTCGCTTAATTATAATGGATTTCTTTAACCCACTCAATTACCAGGGGTGGCGATAATCTTTTCTTTGTTTTCCTTATCTATTTCTGCCTCTTTCTTTTCCCATTCGTGGATCTTTTGTCAACTCACCACTTTTCTCATATCCAGCAGACTATCTGTAGAGATTCTCTGTTTATTTGACTCCTATTATTATTATTAATTTTTTTTTTTTTGCTTCTTCCTCTTCTGCAGAATTGCACCACCCACTACATGCTACAACTTCTTCTGTGAGATGAAAATAATTATTTTCACTTTTATTCGCTGCTCCTAAAAAAAAAAAAAGGAAAAAAAAATTTTCCTTTTCTTTTTCGTACTTTAAATAATTTCTACCTTTTTTTTTGTTTTTGTCTCCTTTTCATTTTCTTTTTTTTCTTGACTTCCTTCTTTTTTTCGTTTGCATGCATGCGTCTGTATATCAGACTTGTGGTAATGTTCACGCGTTCAGGTGCCTCTGCATAATCCCTCCGCTCCTTTTCCCTAACTTTAACTTTCCCTCCGCTTTCTCTTTCTTTTTTTTTT